CCTGTGAATTGAAGTACGATGTTAGTGACTAGAATTATAGATAAAAAACCTAGACTAGTCCTATCCTAACCATGTTATATATATATACCCACTCTTATCTGATCTCAATATGGCGGCGGGGATTTTCTTTTATGGCTTATTGCGTATTGCATCAAAGGGCCCTGCGATGTTCGTTAAGAAATGCGAGAATGTGTAGCGTGGAATCTCGTATCGTAGACAGTAGTACGTAACAGTTGTATAAACGGTAAACAACTTATAGCTTTCTTCTAACCACGACGAATAGTGACAGTGTACACATACCAAGCTGTAGTCGGAGTCTCTCCCGTTCTACCTGATACTCTGTCCTTTTATCTGTCTCCCTCGACCTCGCCCTGTTTCTGCGTTTATTGTCAATGTTTGTTGCCCCCTTGACCGATTGCACAGATCGCCAGCACCGTCATTAAGGGGTACCTTAATGATGGCTGGTCGACAATTTTAGCTGTGTTCTTGGGTATAGTGAATCCGTCCGTAGCATTTTAGACTGCTTACTGTCAATGTTAATTTATATGTTCCGCTCTTAAGTATGCGGGTTGTCTGGTGGAGCCATCGCGGCCGTCCTTGAACGATTGTATGTTCTCTCTCTCTAGCGTTTCCACGGTACTACAATTCACTACTACATTTCACTACTACATTTCACTACTACAAATGCACTAGTCTATCATCGTCAAAATGCGCAAATAAGAAGCGATTAATCAGATCCTGTATAACCTAGATCACGGCTTCAATGCAGTTCGTCGACACACACACGTTCATACATATGAACACGTTCAATCATCGTGTGCCCGCATGCATCCACAAGTGCGCACGCATTCGCGCGTACAGACACGCACTCATACACGCACGCACGCACGCACGCACGTGTGTATATAGGCATTTACGCACACACAGATACTAGTAAAACAGACGACGATGACGACACAACAACGATGACGACACAACAACGATGACGATGATGATGACGATGATGACGATGATAATGACGACGATAATGATAATGATAATTAAGTGCACGAATAAGACGAGTCATAGATAGCGGCAGATCAGGTGCATTAACTACATGAGTACAACACAATCGCTCCGAGCAAACAGAGAGTGAGCGCATTCGCAGCAGATTAAATCACGTAATTTGAATCGAGATGCATATGATCCTATATTAATTGAAACCCTTGACCAGTACATAAATGATGCTTGCCGCTTTACTATGCGCGCCGTGCTCACTCGAGGTAGTGATATACGATACGCTCTGCCACCATGCAAGAGTTGCCACCGGGCTACGAATATCCCATAATATTTATACAATTCGAAACATGCTCAGATTTTTGAACGCGTATATATATATATACATATATATATATATGTTGTGTGTGTGTGTGTGTGTGTGTGTGTGTGTGTGTGTTGTGTATGTATGTATGTGTGTGTGTGTGTGTGTGTGTGTGTGTGTGTGTGTGTGTGTGTGTGTGTGTGTGTGTGTGTGTGTGTGTGTGTGTGGTTTATGTGCGTGTTCTTTTGTCGTCCGTATTCATGGCAACGCGCGAATTGTGTGAATCATTCATTTTTGATTATCTATAACGCATTGTATTTGTTTTTGATTATTTGATTCTATTCCAATGTCTGCTGACCTGACGAAGAGATGTAATCTCGAAAGCTTGTCAATTAAACTTTAAACACCCTTATTCTATACCTTGACTTTGTTTTTATCTACACGGGTGTTCGTGTGTGACTTTATTACTATATATATATATATATATAGTCACATAGGTTCTTTCAATGTCGAATGTACACAGGAACCCGCATGTCTGTATCTATTCAACACGAATCAAAATTTGCTCATGGAAATCACGTGATAGAAAATGTACCGTCTGCGACGTTTATCAATGTAATGACGAGTTAGTATTTGCCGACCGATTGCATTCATGTGTTTTCAAGTTATGGACATATTGGGTATAAAACTAATCGGCGCACGTGGACCTTTTGCGTGTCGAAGAGTTTATACGTTAAGTAAAAACCCACATGCCGATATGGGGCGTCTATTACAGCTCTCTTTCAACCTTCATATTGAGCGTGTGAATGCTATATATATATGTATATATATATATATATATATAACATCTTTGACTGTCACGCAACAACGAAATTTCGAGCCGAATTCACTCTGTTAAAGTGAGTAGTATTATTCTTGTTAGTTTACACGTGCGATCGACCGTCATCACAGAATACGCAGACGTAATGGTGTGACGGCTGACGCTCTGTGAGACACGCGCGAGTGCGCATACGCATCATCACAAGCGGTGTCTACGCATCTTTTCAACAAACGAACGCGTCGCGTCTCGTTCTTTATCTCGCGAGCGCGCGCACGCACGCGCGTATACGCACTCACACAGGCAATCACCCCTACACGCACGTTCGTACGCACGCACACACGTACGCACACACGCGCGCACGCACGCACACACGCACGCACGCATGCACACGTGAGGTATAATAGACAACCTCTGTTAGAAAAATGTTAACGGATAGTTTCACGATTGGATACTTTCGCACGTAGCTACGGGCACTGTCGATTTGGAAGTTGTGTCGTAACTACGAGCCTCCCGGGAATCACGAAGCAGTGTGTAAGAGAGAACACATGCCAAGCAGCGGCTCAGCACATATTAGAATCCTACATGGAGTGCTTAAATCTTACATGTCACATAGGTGTCTCCTTCGTTCCCACAGGCACACACCTTTCGAATAGGTATCTGATATCGACCGGTAGCTGAACATGGCGCAAAACGTGTGAAGGCAGACGAGAAGTTTAACAAAAAGCGTATAATATCACGCACGCACACCATTTCATGCCGGAACTTTACGTTATCATAACATTTCCTCGCATGAAGATGCCGCTTTGAAGCCATATATAAGAGCTCCGTGAAAACAATACGAGTCGGCTTATCCATACCGTGATGCACTCTTTTTGCGCGTTAAAAACTCAGGCTACATCAATATTTCATTTGCTGAAAGCCATGTAATGGGCCCGCTAACAGAAACATTGTCTGAACATACTTGACATTTCACTACAAACGTTCTGACAGTTTAGACTTTCGTGAGAGCTAAGATGTATACATAAAATTGAATTCATGAAAGTCCATACGGTAAGTTTAGACATTGAATATTATCATAAAACGACAGTTTGATAATAGTGCTATACAAAGATCGGTTAGAATGAATTTCTCTGCTCGAAAATAATAAGCAAACTTACTGCCATCTTTGTAAACCTTACGCAGCCATTTGAGTAAAACAGTTGGAATATCCACCAAAAAGAGAAAGAGAAAGAGAGAGCGGGTAAAAGCAAGAAAGAGAGAAAAAGTTAAAGAGAGAGTGAGAGCGAGAGACAGAAAAAGAGAGAAAGAGAGAGAGAGAGAGAGAGAGAGAGAGAGAGAGAAAGCGAGAGAGGGAGATAGTAAGATAGAGGGAAAAGGAAAAAGAGGAAGTGAGAGGGGAAGAGAAAAAAAAGAGAGAGAGAGCGCATGTAGGCGTGCTTTGTACGCGCGTGTACAAAGGAGTCAGGAGTTAGGCAACGTCACACCGACTAAATGTTTATTGCCTAATATGAAGATCTATAGTGAGCGCGATAGTGGAGTGTCGATAGGAAGACTTTAAATCTTTCAAACGCTGCCTGTGATTCTATAGACTCACATTTCGCAGTATACTAAGCTCCTCTGAGGCTCTACCGCGGGGCACTCGAGTTCTTGTTTCAAAATTAACTTAATTCTTGTCACAAACATGTTTCCACTGTGACATATTTGACGTTATCCCTGATTGATTGCCTAATTAGGAAATTAATTTAACTTTACATATTAATGAATTTTGAATACTACGTCACGGCATCGGCTCCACAACGCGAGAACATAAGCAAGAAAATTCTGCTGTACGCTATTCAAAACTATTCACCGCCAAGAAAGTATATTTCATGCATTGCGTAGGCTGGTATAGGGGCGTTAGTCGTTTACAGATAACAGACAGGTAGGCTCTTAGAAATGAAGCCAGGCCGTTCCATGAAACGCCGACAATTCTGGCAATAGTACTAGACACGCGTACGTGCGAAACGTTATACATAGCTTGTATTATTGAACCGGGCTTACTGTTGATATAATAAAAAATATGCACGTGTATATGCACAATATAATACGAAATTCTTTCTTTCTTTCTTTCTTTCTTTCTTTCTTTCTTTCTTTCTTTCTTGCAGCGTTTATCGGACGGTAGGACGCGTCAAATGACGCTAATTATCTTAGCTCTATCTAATCAGCGCGTATATATTAATATCGCAGCATGTGTTATATCAGATATCACCTTATATACATGTATGTTTATACTGCGACTTGCTGACTTTGACGCGCGCGCGCTAGTACAGCCGCAAGTGGCATCGATCCCCATGTACACACTCACTAACACGCACCCGCACGCACGCATATAAGCGCCCGGGAAAAAAACGCATGCACACGCGCGTTTATTTCGAATACTATATACTGCTTCATGGTATCGGTACCACAACGTGAGAACATGCGATCGCCAAAAATTTCTGCCGTGTACTATTCGAATTTTTTTACCGCCAAGATAGTCCATATAGGTATTGCTTAGGCTAATGAGGTTCGTTGATTTATATTGCACGACAGATGGCAGATAAATGGACTTGAATGACGCCAAATTTTCTGACGATAGTACTATAATGTACGCGTGTGCGAAACGATATGCATAGCTTAAATTTTGTAGTCGACGACTCATGCTCACTGTCTGTATAATAAGAAAATGTGCACGTTTATTTAAAACGCGCCGGCACGCAGGCATACGCGCGCTCAGATACACACGCGCGCACTCGGACACACGCACGCACGCACGCACTCGCATCTCCACGATTTCCAGCGCGCGGGCGTTCCGCCGCGCATGCGCCCGTGCTCCCTCCCGCCACGTGCCGGTGGCGCCCGCTAGCGGTCGTGGCGCTGCATGGAGGTTGCTTCCATCTGATTCTTATCTTCGGGGCTCGCTTTGCAGCAGCGCGGGAACCAGACGGCGAATATGCTGCGGAAGGCGGCGCGAAACTCTCCGCTCGCGAACGCGTACAGGAACGGATTGATGGCCGAGTTCGCGTGCGACAGATAGACGAGCACGTTGAGCAACTGAATCGGAAACTCGATGTCCGTGAACGCCATGATGGCGTCGAGAATGTGCAGCGGGTACCAGCAGACGAAGAAGAAGATGATGATGAAGAAGAGCGACTTCGCGGCGCGGACCTCGCGCTTCCAGAGGCTGCTGCGAACCTGACTGGCGGCATCGTCCGCGGCGTCGCCTCCGCCGTTGAACGCCAACACGAGTTCCTGCACGGCGATCTGACGTATCTGTAGCAGAGAAAAATATACGCGCTAGTCGCTTATAGTATAATGATATAGTGCATGTATTATTGTATGATAATATATATTATTATATATTTATTGTAAAATATTATTATGTGATAATACATAATATATATATATATATATATATATATATCAAGTTAGCGCGAACTTTCGGGCGGATTGATAGATTAGTGCGTGCACATGAGAGTGAGGTTGCGAATGTGTGCATGCGTTCATGTACGTGTGGTGAACAAGTGTGTGTGTGTGTAGTGTGTGTGTGTGTGTGTGTGTGTGTGTGTGTGTGTGTGTGGCGCAGGCGTGGCGTGTAATGTATGTGTGTGTGTGCGTGTGTTTGTAGTTGTATGTGTGTGTGTGTTATGTGTGTGTGTGTGTGTGTGTATGTGAGTGTGTGGTGTGTGTGTGTGTGTGTGTGTGTGTGTGTGTGTGTGTGTGTGTATGTGTGTTTGTGTGCGTGTGTGTGTCCATGTACGTGAGCGCGTCCTGCATGTTCGTATGCGTGGGTGTGTGGACAGACGTAGTATCACTGCTTCCGTGGTTTATAAGAGGTAAACGCACTCGCGGTTTTCAACTAGCTATAGCATTAAATGCACGCAGTGCATAGGTCGTTATAGCAACGGTGATGCAATTCATGCAGTTGCAAAAACCCCGCACTTCCGCGATTTCTGGCGCAGCGGAAGATGTCGTTGCTTGACAACCGCGTCTTTTCCGGTAAATTATCCATCGGTCACCATACAGACATCAACAGTATGAGGTTATACCGGGATTCAGAGGGCCTGGCCCTAATCTACCAATTGTGGTATTACACGTTGAATGCACATTTATTTAATAACGCAGCTGCACGCACGCATACATGCGCTCAGATATACGCAGAAGCTCTCGGACACGAATCACGCCGCACGCACGGCACGCACGGCACCTGCACGCACGCACACCGACACAACACACCGCCACCCGCCAGAGCCCGCGCCCCCCCCCCCCCGCCCCCCCACCGCAACCAGCGGCACGCACCACAGCCCACCACCCTCACCCGCGCGCCACACAACACACCCACGCACGCGTCCAAGACAGCGGAAACCACACAGCACGCCCACCGCGAGCCAATCGGAGCACCACGCACACGACAAGCGCGTATTTTCCACCATACCAGCCGCTCATCCGCCTGCTTCGCGCGTCCTCCCGCCTCCCCCCCTCCTGCACCTCGTTCCGATAATTAACATCCCCTCGCTCTCGCACCATATACAACAAAGATAAACCGACCCCCCCCCCACAACCACAAAACTGTCGACACCTCTCAAACTCACAACGATCTCATACAGCTCCTCAACCAACCTCGTTTCACTTGTTTGAAGCAACTGCTGAATTTTGTCGTTCCTGTTGACGCTTCGACCGTTCCTGCTTCCTCCCCCCCTCTCCTGCCCCTACGAACAACACATCTCGACCGGACGCCAATATCTCATCCTTTACTTTCGCCTACCCCTACCTCCACTCGCTATACCGCCCCACCCCGCCCCCCAACCCTTGTCTAGGACAGCTCCACACACTCCCGCACTCCACCCCCCCCCCCCCCCCCATCTCTCATCGGAGAGAAAAGATTTCTTCCGCAACACGGCTCGCGCTCCCTCACTCGACACAACTAAGCGGCCTAGTAAACCCCCCCCACCATCACAAAACCACGCACACAATAACAAAACAAAAAATCACAATAACGTATAACAGAAAGTAAGATCAAAATGCAAAAACAAAAACCAACCCCCCGCCCACCCCACCCACAACCAAACAAACACAAACCCACACCCACCACCACAACAAAACAAAAAAAACAAAAAAAACATAATTATAAGCAACATTCCTAGTCAGAGCTGGAGTCTTACATAATAGAACAAAAAAAATACATACAACATACCATAAAAACAATAATATCATGAAAATAAGACAGACTAATATGAGCAACAGTACGTACATATAAAATAAAATAATACGGTGTTTCTAACAAAACAAAAAAAAATAAGATAAATAATAAAAAGTATTGCGATCAAGACTAAAAATAACACATATCAACAAAAGAAAAAAACTCCACAAAAACAGACGAAAACGCAACGAGAAAAAAAAATATAAACAAAAATACCAGACGCAATCGACTAACGACACGACATTCATTTAAATGGAATCACAATGGTCCCGAGGCCAGACCCACAGAAAAACAAAAAACAAAACAACACCACAACAAAAAAATCCTCACTCACCTCACCCCAAAAAAAAAAAACCAAAAAAAAAAACAATCAGACTAAGATGATAACAAATTAATCGAAAATCCAAACTCACACTACAACCCCTTATAATCAAACCAAAAAAACAAGCGACCGCCCTCCTCCCTTGTCTTCTCATCCCCTTCCCTTTTCGGGCTTCTCCTCTCCCCGCTCGCTTCTTTCTCCGCGTTGCTGTCTGCCCTCGCCCCGTCCCTCCGCCCCGTCTCCACGAACCGCCCTCGCGCCATCACTGGAAATCGACATAAGCAAAGAAAAAAAAGTGAAGATAATAATAGATAATGTAAATGCAAACAGCGGACAATACAGCAGAAAGCACTAAACCAAAACTCGAACCTCTCCAGGACCCCACCATATGGGTGCTCACCACACCCACACCCCACACCGTCGCGCCCCCCCCCCCGCGCACGCCCTTCGCACCTGCAGAACGCTAATAGCTATCTTCCCCCCCCGAGTACACTAAAACAAATTACAACCTCGATACCACCCATAAAACGCATCCAGATAACCCAAACCCCACCCACACACAAGCGACCAACAAACCACAAAAAAAATAAACACAAAACACCCCAGCAACACCCAAAAAAAACCCCCAACACCCAACACAAAAAAAACACCCCCACCCCAACAAAAAAACAAAACAAAAAACAACACACCAAACCGCCGCCCCCCCACACAGACCCACACCCCAACCACCCACCCCCAAACCAACACCACCACCAACAACCAACCCCCACCCCACCCCCCACTCACCCACCCCACCAATAGCAACCACAACCAAAACAACAACCAACACAAAACCCAAAAAAAAAAAAAAAAAAAAAACAAACACAAATAAAAAAAACAAAAAAAAAAAAACCAAAAAACCAACAAACAACAACACCAACACACCCCCAAAAAACCACAACAAACAAAACCCAACCCGAACCCCCGCCAAAAAAAAAAAAAAAACAACAAAAACCAACACCCCACCAAACAACCCCCAAAAAAAACAAAAAAAACACCCCCACCCAACCACAACAACACACACCCACAAAAAAAAAACAAAAACAAACACAACAAAAACCACAAAAAAAAAAAAACCCCCCCCAAAACAAACAAAAAAACAAAAAAAAAAAAAAAAAAAAAAAAAACCAACAAACCCCCGCCAAACACCCACCACACCCACAACCAAAAAAACAAACACAACAAAAAAAACACCACCCAAACAACAAACCCACAACCACCCCCCAAAAAAAAACCACCCCCCACCCAACACCCACCCCAAACCCAACCAAACACACACCAAGACCCCACATCCACATCCACCCCTCTCAAAAACCCCCCCTCCCTCTCTACAACTCATCAATCAACTCCCCAACCCGCTCCTACGCCCCGCCCCCCCGCCCCCCCAGCCCCCCACCCCCCCCCGCCCCCTCCTCCCCCCCCGCTCCGCTACCGCCCCCCCCGCCTCCTCCCTCTCCCCTCACGCCGTCCCCAGCCCCGCCCACCTCTCTCCTCCCTCCTCTCCCCCTCCGCCTCTCCCTCTCCTCCTCCGCCTCGCTCTGCTCTCTCTCTCTCTCTCTCTCTCTCTATCTCCGCCTCCTCTCTCTCTCTCTCTCTCTCTCTCATCAGTCTTCTCTCTCATCCGCCTTTCGCTTCCCTGCGCGTCCTGTGGTCGCGCTCTTCTGCGTATAACCAGGCGCTAATCACCGACGAAGGAATGCATGCAGAAGAAGAGGATGAATGATTCATATTTCAGGAGTCAATCACTTCCATGAAGATACACCTGGCAGGGAAAATCAATTGTGTCGTTGCTTATACGTGTAACAACTTTAGATGTACATCGGTTGGCTTATTCATAGTCGCATGTGTAGGATATTATCATATTACATATGACAAGCCAGATTACACGCCCACCCCCCAACGCCAGCCGGCCCTCACGCACACCATCTTCTCTCCCACCCAACACCACCCCCCCCCACAGAAACTAGCCCCCCCCACACCACCACAAACACCAACACACAACCCCACCACCCCGAAAACAGGCACAGACAATTAAAACAACTGTGCCAGTTTCTTGGATATCGTTATAGCATAATAGACTTCAACGATTTTATTTGATCTAAGCGCGCTATATATATATATATATATATATATATACTATATAGAGAGAGAGAGAGAGAGAGAGAGAGAGAGAGAGAGAGAAATGTGTGTGTGCGTGCGCCGTGCGCGGTGGTGTGTATACGCGCTATAATACAATACCCTTCTATTCCCCCCTGTGTTTTGGCAATTAACGGTCAACAGGAAATTCATTCAGCGGAAAATAAGCAGGAAGGCGAAATTCCGTTGCGAGCAACGCAGAGAGCGTTAGTCACCGACCGTGGGATAAATTACCTTATAAATCAGTGGTCCGCGGACGAGTTCGACAGCGCGTATATACTGGAAGCGGATAGTGGCGCCGCCTGAGCGGGCAGCTATCGCTTTGCGCGACGCATTGTTATTATAAACGCATTGTGTTTACGCGTCGAGTGGCGTACGCGTACGCTCTCGAAATTCGCTTACGTGTGCCCCTTCGTGATCGGGCGATTAAATTCGCTACGTGTTGCCCTTTTCTCGTGACGGGCGCGATTAAATTCGCTGGCGATTTTTAATCGCCCCGGCGATCGGCGATAAATACGCACCTCCCCGCCACGCTCCACCCCCCCCCTCCCGCTCAGCGGAAACCCCCCACAAATATAAGAGGACAAATTAAAAAGAAGA